GCTTGGGTGAGGGAGCCAGGGGCTTTTCAGATAACCACAGCAGGGCAGCCCTTGCGGGCGCAAAGAAAAGCAAGCTTGCACCCCAGGCTACCTTCCTAGAGGAGGTGAGGCAAGCACGGGATCAGGATAAAGGCTGTCGGTAATCAGAATGTTAGGGGTGGATCTTGGACTCAGAAAGGGGCTGCATGATGTCCGATGCGAGCAGAGACTCAGGCATGGGTCCTCCTTACAGAATCCTGCACCCAAGATCCCTGTGCGCGTGTCGCCACAGGTCATAGAGTGAAAGTTGCGTGTGGGGGACACCGCTGTGTACCATCCTCTGCGCGCCTCTGTGTGTGGTGGTGCGAGTGAGCATGTTTGCGCGTATCTCCAGGTGTGCAAGGGGTCAGGACGCTCAGCAGGTGTGTGTCCACCTCCGCGGGCGGGGTCTCTGCCTCTGAGAGGGCTGGGGTCTGAACACTCGTGCTCGTGCACGCGCGTGCCAGCTGTGTGCACGCTTGGTGCTGGTGACAGAGCCTGCAAGCACGTGGGGAGAGGTGGCAGGTGGAGGCAGGTGTGTGGACAGGTGTGTGAGGTAACAGTGGGCACCACGTCTCAGTCTGTGGAGTCACAAGCCGCCCGTCTCTAAGCTTTCCTGAGGAGGCTCCCCCTCTGCTTCCAGACACATCTGGGTTGAGGGTCAGTGCTGCCCTGGGCGGGAGCAGGAAGGCTGAGCCAGAACAGCGTGGTGGGTTCTGCCTCAATTACCTCCGGACTGACCCTGGGCACCCCGGGACTCTCCCCCTCCCGTTGTGAGCACAGGCTGAGCTGTGAACACAGTGCAGAGGCAAGGAGAGATAGAACAAGGCTGAGAGTGAACCATGGTGCTTTTTTGGGGGTGAGGGGGATGGAGTTTTGCTCTGTCATCCAGGCTAGAGTGCAATGGCACAATCTTGGCTTACTGCAACCTCCTCCTTCAGGTTCAAGCAATTCTCCTGCCTCAGCCTCCCTAGTAGCTGGGATTACAGGCATGAACCACCACACGTGGCTAATTTTTGTATTTTTCAGTAGAGATTGGGTTTCACCGTGTTGGCCAGGCTGGTCCCAAACTCCCAGCCTCAGGTTATCCACTCGCCTCAGCCTCCCAAAGTGCTGGGATTACAGGAATGAGCCACTGCACCTGATCTCGTGGACACATTTTTTTAAAAATTGAAATAAAATTCACATAAAATTGAATTAAATATTATAAAGTGTACAACTTAGTGTTTAGTACTCTCACAAAGTTGCACAACCACCACCACTATCTAGTTTCAAAATATATCCTCCCCGCTTAAAAACCCATATCCATGATCAGTCGCTCCCCATCACGCTCTCCGAGCCCCTGGCAACCAACACCTGCTTTCTGTCTCTATGGACTGGCCTGTTCTGGACATTTCATATCAATGGGATCAGAACATACGTGACTCTTTCGTCTGGCTTCTTCCAGTTGACATCATGTTTTCAAGGCTCCTCATGTTGTAGCATAAGGTTAGTGCTATATTCCTTTTTATTTTTACTTTGTATAGGTACACAGTAGGTGTGTATACTTATGGGGTACATGAGCTATTCTGACACAGGCATACAATGAGTAATAATTACATAAGGGTAAATACAGGATCTGTCACCTTAAGCATTTATCTTACAAACATTCCAATTATGTGTTTTTGTTTGTTTGTTTTTTGAGATGGAGTCTCACTCTGCCACCAGGCTAGAGTGAAGTGGTGTGATCTCGGCTCACTGCAACCTCCACCTCCTGCGTTCAAGCAATTCTCCTGCCTTGGCCTCTTGAGTAACTGGGATTACAGGCATGCACAATCACACCCAGCTAATTTTTGTATTTTTAGTAGACACAGGGGTGTCACCATGTTGGACAGCATGGTTTCGATCTCTTGACCTCATGATCTGCCCATGAAATTATCCATTAAATATTTTATTTATTTATTTATTTTGAGACGGAGTTTTGCTCTTGTTACCCAGGCTGGAGTGCAATGGCGTGATCTCAGCTCACCACAACCTCCGCCTCCTGGGTTCAGGCAATTCTCCTGCCTCAGCCTCATGAGTAGCTGGGACTACAGGCACGCGCCACCATGCCCAGCTAATTTTTTGTATTTTTAGTAGAGATGGGGTTTCACCATGTTGACCAGGATGGTCTCGATCTCTTGACCTTGTGATCCACCCGCCTCAGCCTCCCAAAGTGCTGGGATTACAGGCTTGAGCCACCATGCCTGGCTGCCATTAAACATTTTAAAGGGGACAATCAGTGGCATTTAGTACATTCACAATGCTGTGCAGCTACCACCTCTAGTTACAAGGCATTGTCACCATTCAAAAAAAACTTCATATCCATTGGTCAGTCACTCCCCATTCCACACTACCCCCATTCCCCAACAGTAACTCATCTGTTTTCTTTCTCTGTGGATTTACCTATTCTGGACATTTCCTATAAATGGAATCATATACTATGTGGCCTTTCGTGTCTGGCTTCCTTCACTCAGCCTCATGTTCTCAAAGCGCATCCACATGGTAGCATGTGTCACTGCTTCATTCCTTTGCATGGTTGCATAATATTTCTTTGTATGGTTGGACCACATTTTGTTTATCCATTCATTCATTGATCCAGTTTGCATTTTTTTTTTTGAGACAGAATCTCGTTCTGTTGCCCAGGCTGGAATGCAGTGGCATGATCTCAGCTCACTGCAATCAATCTCTGCCTCCCAGGTTCAAGCAATTCTCTGCCTCAGCCTCCCAAGTAGCTGGGATTACAGGCATCCACCATCACTCCCAGCTTTTTTGCATTTTTAGTAGAGATGGGGTTTCCATCTTGGCCAAGCTGCTCTTGAACTGACCTTGTGATCCTCCTGCCTCCACCTCCCAAAGTGCTGGGATTACAGGTGTGAGCCACCATGCCTGGCCCCAGTTTGCATTTTAACATAAACGTTTTTATTTTGTATCCAATCTGTTTGCAGACTGGCAAAAAAGAGGGAGGGAAAGGAGTCATAGCCTCCTACTTTAGTTTTTTGGGGAACTTCCACAAACTAAATAAAGGAGAAGGGCTCCTGTTGGTGCAGGGAGGAGAGCTGTCCTGGGGGAGAAACTGGGCAGATCTGACTCTGTGGCCACTCAGGGAAGGTGATGAGAGAAGCCAGGGCTGACCGCCTAGGTTTTTGCACCAGTGGAGGCATGGGGTTGGAGGATTAGGGTAGGGTTCAAAGAGGGGAGGAGACCAGCAGAATCACGCAGTGGAAGCATGCTGGGCCCATAACGCAGAGGTCGATGGATCATAACCATCCTCCGCTAACAAGTTTTTGGTTGGGCATGGTGGCTTGCACCCATAAATCCCAGCACTTTGGGAGGCTGAGGCAGATGGATCACTTGAACTCAGAAGTTCAAGACCAGCCTGGGCAAAATAGTGAAACCCCATCTCTGCTAAAAATACAAAAAATAGCTAGGTGTGGTGGTGCAGGCCTGGCTAATACCTAGTAATCCCAGCTACTCAGGAGGCTGAGGCAGGAGAATCACTTGAACCCGGGAGACAGAAGTTGCGGTGAGCCAAGATTGTGCCACTGCACTTCAGACTGGGAGACAGAGCAAGACTCTATCAAAAAAAAAAGGTGGGGGGGGAGGTGGGGGAGGAGATTCAGAGAATAGCATTGGCAAGTGACTAGAAACATAGGCTCAGCTGGGGTCAGAGGGCATAAGTCTATGGTGAAGCCAGTTAGCTCCTTGTCCTTGGGAGGGTCTCACATGAGTTAGACCAAACCACCACATCAACAGGAGCTAAAAGCTTAACTCATTTATGCCTCACAATAGCCCCATAATATAAGGATTCTTACTCCCATTTGTAACTGCCCAGTGGGTTCACCTTGCCACCTGCCTAGACAGAGCCAATTTATCAAGTCAGGGGAACTGCAACAGAGAAAGTGTAATTCACGCAGAGCCGGCTCTATGGGACACTGGAGTTTTATTACTACTTGAATCAGTCTCTCTTAAGCATTCAGGGAGCAGAGTCTTTTAGGACAACTTGGTGGGCAGGGGAAGTCAGTGAGCCAGGAGTGCTGCCTGGTCAGAGATGTAATCACAGGGAGTCAGAGATGTCTTCTTGTGCTGAGTCAGTTCCTGGGTGGGGGTCACAAGATCAGATGAGCCAGTTTATTGATCTGGATGGTTCCAGCCGATCCATCAAGTGCAAGGTCTGCAAAAGACCTCAAGCACTGATCTTGGAGGCAGTTTAGGGAGGGTCAGGATCTTGCAGCCTCCAGCTACATGACTCCTAAACCAGAATTTCTCATCTCCGTGTCTAATGTTAGTCCTACAAAGCCAATCTGGTCCCCAGGCAAGGAGGAGGTCTGCTTTGGGGAAGGGCAGTTATCATCCTTGTTCCAAACTATCAACTGTAAGTTTCTCCCAAAGTTAGTTCACCCTATGCCCAGGAATGAACAAGGACAGCTTAGAGGTTACAAGCAAGATGGAGTTGGTTAAGTTAGATCTCTTTCGCTGTCTCAGTAGTAATTTTGCAAAGGCAGTTTCAATTTTCCAGGGGATCAATGAGGCTCAGAGAAGGGAAGCAACCTGCCTCGCATCTCACAGCTAGAAAGCCGCGGTGATGAGAAATAAACAGAGTCTGGACATTTCCATGCCACAACAAAGAGACGACTTCCAGCTGAAGGCGGCAATCAGGGAACAGCTTAGCCATAAAATTCAGGCAGGATTTGGACCCATAAAGATAGGGAGACACATGAAAAGACCAGAATGAACAAAGGCAGAAAAGCAAGGTGTAGGTAGTGGTACATGGGTCAAATAATCATGACGGCAATAACAACAGCAGAATAATTGTAATTATCAGTATTTATAATTTATTAAATTCCTAGTTCATGTCAGGACCTGTGCAAAGCACTTAAAATGAGTGATGTTATTTAAACCTTGATAATATGCTGTTCTGCAGATAGAGTAACCATGGCTGGGACGGATGAAGGAGGCGCTTTCAGGTGTCCTCCCAGGTAAAAGTCACTAGACACCCCCTGCTCCTAACCACTGGCTCTTCTTTCCTCTCTCCTCCGACTAGGGGTGGCCGCCATGCTGGGGCAAAACCACACCTGCACATCTGAATTCACCCTCTTCGGCTTCTCCGCTTTCCCCCACCTGCAGCTGATGCTCTTCCTGCTGCTCCTGCTCATGTACCTGTTCACACTGCTGGGCAACCTACTCATCATGGCCACCGTCTGGAGTGAGCGTGGCCTCCACACGCCCATGTATCTCCTCCTGTGTGCCCTCTCCGTCTCCGAGATCCTCTACACAGTGGCCATAATCCCGCGCATGCTGGCTGACCTGCTGTCCACCACGCGCTCCATCGCCTTCCTGGCCTGCGCCAGCCAGATGTTCTTCTCCTTCACCTTCGGCTTCACTCACTCCTTCCTGCTCACCGTCATGGGCTACGACCGCTACGTGGCCATCTGCCACCCGCTGCGCTACAACGTGCTCATGAGCCCGCGGGGCTGCGCCTGCCTGCTGGGCTGCTCCTGGGCTGGTGGCTCTGTCATGGGGATGGTGGTGACCACGGCCATTTTCCACCTCTCCTTCTGTGGACCCAATGAGATCCACCATTTCTTCTGCCATGTGCCACCTCTGTTGAAGTTGGCCTGTGGCGATGATGTGCTGGTGGTGGCCCTGGGCGTGGGCTTGGTGTGTATCATGGCCCTGATGGGCTGTTTGCTTCTCATTCTCCTCTCCTATGCCTTCATTGTGGCCACTATCTTGACGATCCCTTCTGCTGGTCGGAACAAGGCCTTCTCCACCTGTGCCTCTCACCTCACAGTGGTGGTCGTGCACTATGGCTTTGCCTCTGTCATTTACCTGAAGCCCAAAGGTCCCCAGTCTCCAAAAGGAGACACCTTGATGGGCATCATCTACACGGTCCTCACGCCCTTCCTCAGCCCCATCATCTTCAGCCTCAGGAACAAGGAGCTGAAGGTTGCCATAAAGAAGACCTTCTTCACCAAATTCTTTCCACAGAACTGCTGAAATGGCTGGCTTTCGCTCAAGAGATGTAGTGAATGGGAACACTTCAGTCTTCTTCCTCTGTTTCTTCCCTCTTTCCTTCCTTCCTCTCTCTCTGTTTTCTTGTTCTGGAGATGAAATCTCACTTTGTCGCCCAGGTTAGAGTGCAGTGGTGCGATCTTGGCTCACTGCAACCTTCACCTCCCAGGTTCAAGCAATTCTCCTGCCTCAGCCTCCCAAGTAGCTGGGACTGCAGGTGCACACCATCACACCAGGCTCATTTTGTGTTTTTGGTAGACATGAGGTTTCAACATGTTGGCCAAGCTGGTCTCAGACTCCTGACCTCAGGTGATCCTCCCACTTTGGCCTCCCAAAGTGCTGGGATTACAGGTGTGAGCCATCGTGCCCCACCCCAATAGTATATATGTATTAATCTACCTACTCACCTATCTATCTATCCATCACCTATGTATCATCTATCTATCTATAGCTTATTGATTCTGTTTCTATGGAGAGCCCTGACTAACACAATCCATATCCCGGTCACAGTGATATTTCTCTGTGTATCACTGCACCAGGCAACATGGGAATGCCTCAATGGCTGGGAACAGAAACAAACACCTTTCTGAACCTCCAAAACTAGCACAGGAAACAAAGGCCATAAATAATTATTATACTAATCTTAGGGAAGACATGGTCCCTCACACCTGTAATCCCAGCACTTTGGGAGGCCAAGGCGGGCAGATCACTTGAGGACAGGAGTTCAAGACCAGACTGGCTAACATGGTGAAACCCCACCTCTACTAAAAATACAAAAATTAGCCGGGCGCGGTGGCTCAAGCCTGTAATCCCAGCACTTTGGGAGGCCGAGGCGGGTGGATCACGAGGTCAAGAGATCGAGACCATCCTGGTCAACATGGTGAAACCCTGTCTCTACTAAAAAAAAAAAAAAAAAAAAAAAAATAGCTGGGCATGGTGGCGCGTGCCTGTAATCCCGGCTACTCAGGAGGGTGAGGCAGGAGAATTGCCTGAACCCAGGAGGCGGAGGTTGCGGTGAGCCGAGATCGCGCCATTGCACTCCAGCCTGGGTAACAAGAGCGAAACTCCGCCTCAAAAAAAAAAAAAAAAATTAGCTGGGTGTGGTGGCACAGGCCTGTAATCTCAACTACTCTGGAGTCTGAGGCAGGAGAATTGCTTGAACCTCAGGAGGCAAAGGTTGCAGTGAGCCAAGATCATGCCACTGCACTCCAGCCTGGGCAACAGAGCAACTCCATTCCAAAACAAATAAATAAGTATAATGATCTTAAAAATCTGACATTTATCACCTCCTTTCTGCATGCCAGACACTGTCAACTGCCCTACAATAGATGATGCTATTCAATTTTCAGCATACTCCTCAGAGGTGGATACATTATTATTAAACTCATTTCAATGATGGTAAATAGAGCCTAAGAGATGGAATGTGATCTATCCAAGGCCAGTTGGCTTTATTGCTGAACCAGTGCACGGCCCTACTGGCAGGTCAGAACTTGTCTTCATCTCTTGAGAGCAAAAGATTGCCTATCCTACTTCCTGTGAACTGCTACCATGATGATGGGTCATCGGACCATTCATGGGTTCTGGGAGCCATAGAGAGGAGGCAGTTCCTATAGAAGGGAATTCTGGGAAGAGAGGGGCAGGTCATAGAGCTTAACTGGAATAACGCTTCTTCCCATGGCACTCCTGCTGAACTGCAGCTTCCTGCTGAGTTTCCCCACCTGACTCATTGACTATCAGGATAGATACTTCGAAGAGTGGTGGCTTTCAACTGATCGTTTCCCCAGCTCACACTTCTCCCTCTGGTCCCAAGCTCATTCAGCAACCCTTGAAATTATGACATGATCCTAACTAGTGTTTAGAGTACCTGTGTGTCAGGCACTGTACCGAGCCATTCACAAACACTGGCTCACTTTAGTCTCATCTCTGCTTTAGAAGGTAGGTGTTTTTCGCTTTGGCCTTCTTACAAGGTGGGGTCAGAGAAGGAATGTAACCTGCCTAAGGACACAGAGCAATTGTGTGTCCTGTTAACAAACTTAAAAACTCTAATTGGGTGCACAAACATTGTACATCATGGTTGCCTTCCTCTTCCCTCATTCTTTAAATGTTTGAGAGCCTACCATATGCCATCTGGGCATACTGCAGTGGACAAAATAGAACAAGTAACTTATCTCCCCAAAGCAACAGGAGTCAGTGAAATGCAAAAAGCAAGAGATGCCAGGTGCTACTAGTCACAAGGACAAAAGTAATTCATGTCAAGAAAGACATGACATGACCAGGGGTTTTGCTGTTTTGTGCAGTGTGGTTAAGAAAGGACTCTGATATTCAAGCAGAAAGCTTTAGGCAGTGAGAGAGAAGCCATGTGGACATCTGGCAGGGGGTGTGGAATTCCTGTTAGTGGGCACAGCACGTGCAAAGGTCCTGAGGTAGGAGCGTGTTTGGTGTGTTTGAGGGATAGTGGGGAGGTTAGAGCAGAGTGACTGAGGGAAAGAGAAGAGGAAGGTGAGGCCAGAGAAGCAGCAAGGGCCCAGGTGCATAGGGTTTTGTGGGCACCATAGAAACTTCAGATTTCCCTGTGAGAGAGACGAGAGCCATCAGAAGGTTCTGAGTAGAGGAGATATAATATAATATACATCTAAAAGGCTCAATCTCCTTCCTTTTTTTTTTTTTTTTTGAGACAGAGTCTTGCTCTGCTTCCCAGGCTGGGGTGCAGTGGTACTATCTTGGCTCACTGCAACCTACACTTCCCAGGTTCAAGGGATTCTCCTGCCTCAGCCTCCCAAGTAGCTGGGATTACAGGCGTGTGCTACCATGCCTGGCTAATTTTCTTTGTATTTTTAGGAGACAGGGTTTCACCATGTTGGCCAGGCTTGTCTCAAACTCCTGACCTCAGATGATCTGCCTGCCTTGGCCTCCCAAAACGCTGGGATTACAGACTTGAGCCACCACACCCAGCCTCAATCTCCCTCTTTATTGAGACTATAGTGTAGAGTAGGGGTGGTAGAAGGGAGACCAGCTTGATAGTTATGGAAACCATCCAGCTGAGATAGAATGGTGGCCTCAACCAGGGTAGTGGCAATAGAGGAGGTGAGAAGGAGCCAGGTTCTGGATGTTTTGAAGGGAGAGCCACCTCTGATACGCTAGTGAATAGAACATGGAATGTGAGGAGGAAAGGAGTTGAGAATGTCTCCAAGGAATTGAGATTGAGTTACTGTTTACTGAGATAGGAAACAAGGTGGGAAGAAGAAGTATGTGTGGGGGAGGGGGTGAGAGAGACACAGAGACAGACAGAGATGGAGAGCGATAATGATAACGCGGCCTGAGTTTTCTTTCTCACAGCAAATTCATAAGTCAACATTCTGGATTGTTCAACGTTGTGGGATTATATTAATCCACTTTAGGAATATTTGTTAAGAACTGATATATCTTCCAAGTATCATGCTGGTACTGAATATGATAACGTACAAGATGATCAAAACTCATGACCTCATGCAGCCGGCAGCTTAAGGGATCTCAATAAGTTAGCATAAGACATCCAGTGCCCAACTCATAGAAGGTATCGTTCAACACTTCATGCATTGCTTTTTTTTTTTTTTTTTTGAGATAGTCTCACTCTGTCACCAGGCTGGAGTGCAGTGATGTGATCCCAGCTCACTGCAACTTCCATTTTCTGGTTTCAAGCAATTCTCCTGCCTCAGCCTCCCATGTAGCTGGGACTACAGGGATGCAGCACTACAGCCAGCTAGTTTTTTGGGGTGTATTTTGTATTTTTAGCAGAGACGGGGTTTCACCATGTTGGCCAGGATGGTCTCAATCTCTTGACCTCGGGATCTGCCTGCCTCGGCCTCCCAAATTGCTGGGATTACAAGCATGAGCCACCGCGCCTGGCCACACATTGCCTTTTTACAGTGGGATCCTAATTTCCAGAGGGCTGGTCCAGAAGGGCTTGGCCTCCCAAAGTGCTAGGATTACAGGCATAAGCCACCATGCGAGACAATAAAGAACCATTAAACAGATGTTAGTTCATTTATACAAGTGTAATGGAAGCCTCTTTTCCACAGCCTCTTTCCAGGGTCTCTATCCATTTGGATACCAGCAGGATCAGAGGCCAGTGCGGTATTTTATTAAACAAAGGAAAGAAAAAGCTTGGCTTATGTTCCTTCCCAGGTGGCTCTGTTGTCAGGAGAGGGGAGCATCTTAGCTCAATGTATAGAAGTTACTCAAGAATTTCTACAAGACTAAAACTTATTTAAAAATCATGGAGGACTCTTGAGTTTGTAGAAATATTCCATCTGTGTTCCAAGGATGCGCACTTTAGGGCATGGTGGGTTGCAGCTGTCTCCCTGTGCCATAAAAGACTCTAAGGATGCTGAGATGCTTCATGTGAAGAAGGACCAGTCATCTGGAAAAGACTTGACATTGAAGCTTGGCTCTTCCAGGTTGGATGGTGGTTTCCGATGAGTCGTGCTTCTTCTGTTGTTTTTTGTTTTTTTCTGAGATGGAGTCTCCCTCTGTTGCCAGGCTGGAGTGCAGTGGCGCAATCTTGGCTCACTGCAACCTCCACCTCCCAGGTTCAAAGGGTTCTCCTGCCTCGGCCTCCTGAGTGGCTGGGACTACCACACCCAGCTAATATGCCACCACACTCAGCTATTATGCTACCACACCCAGCTAATTTTTGTATGCTTTTAGTAGAGACAGGGTTTCACCATGTTGGCCAGGCTGGTTTCAATCTCTTGGCATCATGATCTGCCCACCTCAGCCTCCCAAAGTGCTGGGATTACAGGTGTGAGCCACCGTGCCTGGCCTGAGCCATGCGTCTTTTGAAGCTCAGCTTCCCCCTCTATCAAACAGAGGGATTGTGGTTATGTATCTGCTCTTACTCCCACCTTGTGAGGTGCTAATGATGCAACGTGCTTGGTGGGTAACAAGCAACAGGAACTGTGGCACATACTCTGCAAAGGGAGCTTCTCTGAGTTTCCAAGTTTTGATTGAAATGGATTCCCACATCCTCACTCTTCATGTTAATGTGGGAGGTTTTCAGTGCTTAAGTCGAAATTAAGAGAATTTA